ATCATGGTAATACCTAGAAATTATCGTCATAAATGTTTTATTCCGTATTGCCCATCCCTTGCTGCCATCTTATGCATGATTTAATTAGTGTTATATAAATGTAGAAATATAAAACAACAAAGAGAGGTGATCTTAGCAAGTAAAAGTCCTTCTTGTGTTTCCAACCCTTCACTGCAGAGCCATTAGTGTCATCCTGGGTGACAAGTGGAAGAAGATGAAGAATGAAGAGAGGAGAATGTACACCATGGAGGCCAAGGCTTTGGCCGAGGAGCAGAAAAGACTCAATCCTGACTGCTGGAAGCGTAAACGAACCAACTCAGTAAGCACCACAGTTAATACATATTTTTCAATCTAGTAGCTTTGCACAACATTTTCCAGACTTCCTATTGACTGGATTTAATGTACATCTGCTGTTTTCTATTCTTAGGGTTCCCAGCAGACCTAAACCCCTCACCAGAACCCCCAGCAGCTGGTGTGTTTTTTTTTTTTTAGCATGGAGAGGGTGCTGAAGTTGACAGACCGCTTGATGCCTCTTTGCTCTCCTGTATTCTTGAGATCCAAATGTGATGCTGAACTCACTCGCTTTTGTAAACTTTACATATTTTACTTTACATAGTGACAAAACAGAATTATTGCGAAAAAAAAACATATACAAGAAATGTAATCTAGTCACTAACCGTGCATATATTTTCTTATACCTTTAATGTCAAAGATGTCTTATTCCCAAAACGTTGGGAAAACGTCTCATGTATTTCAGGTCATTTTTTTCTTTTTCCTTTTCTTTTTTGTTCAGTGGTGAAAAAACAAAGAGAGGTGCTGTGCTTTAGGACAGAAAGATGAGCTAACATCTGTTTGTAATAGGAAACAGGCAAATTTAGATAACTTTTTACTCTTCTTCATATTGATATTTGTAAGATTTAGTATATTGCACAGATTGGTAATCCATACAGTTTGTATCCTACCACTGTACTATGGCTCAGAGTTTATAAGCAAACCCATCCAACCACCAATATCTTTATTGGTGGTCAGGCACAGGCACGTCAGGCCTCAGTGGTTACTTCTTCTGCACTTTATATAAATAATGTAATCTGGTCCTATACAACCATTGTATACTGGTGAAACAGTTTGTATATTACATCTAGTATTTTCCTAGTTACCCATTTGTCACAATCATGGCACAGCAGCTGTGCTTTGCTTTCAGGTTGCTTTTGAATTTTAAGTACTTTGTTCATAATGTACAGTTTTCAATGCACCAATGTCTTGCACAAATTATCCTTGTATTATATTATAAATAATTTTTTAAACTTCTCACCCCTGTGTACGGCTATTTTGTGTCAGCTGTAAATTGTAAATATTAAGGTCATTGGCTTTGTATTTAGACATGTTTTTCTCTGTTATCAGATGTGGAAAACAATCCTTTTCACTTCATCGGTGTGCTTTTTCAGTACAAAATTGTGGCAAACTGGGATTTGTTTCTCACTCTCAAGCTCTTATCCACTGATATTCAGAACTAAAAGGAACATTTTTTAACTTTTTTTTAATCTCTGCTGGTCTACAATATCATTGTGATGTCTATGAGCTGAATGAAGAAAGCATCAAACGTTTATCATTTTCTTCATACTTGCTGGAACCTGGAAAAAATTTAAAGTAAATGTAAAAAAGCATTATTAATGTTGGAAATTGTGCCAAATTTACAACAAAAAAGAAAAATCGGTTGCAAAGTGTTTTCTCTACTGGCTAAACAACTTATGAAAACAGATTGATAATAAAGTAGCAATAATAATAGCGCTTGTGGTAATAATAGTGCTGGTGCTTGTTGGCACCAGAGGGCGCTATTGTTACATTTTCTTTCAATTAGTTGCAATTTTTTATTTTTTTGTGGCTCAAATGTCTTGACTCTCAATTGTCCTATTATAAAAATAAAAGATATGATTTTAAAGCCAACACAAAAGTAAAATTAATAATACAGTGGATTTGTGTTTAAAAACTACATGTTTCAGAATAGCAGAAACAAAACTGACCTTTCACCTCAATAAAACAACCAAAATGTTTCCTCGAATGTTTATTTTGAACAGGTTAAAATGGCCAAACAGCACAAAACATTTAAGAATACAAACCGCAACAAGACAATACATAAAAATAGTCACAAAGGTTGAAACTAAAGATAATATAAAAAGTTGCAACTAAAAAGTACAAGCATAAACCTATTTAATTATCTATTATTTCTCACACAAAATGTAATGTCTATAATGTAATGCAATGTATTGATGATATTTTGTAATGATATTCATATACGTTTGCAATACAAGAAATAAGCTTCATGGCAATAAATAAATAAATAAACAATGTTCACAATCCTATAAGCTATACATGCATATTAATATTTAACTTAAGTCAAGCTTATAAGTGGTATTAATATGTACAATTATGATGATTGTAATTAAGTGATAATGTATATAAATGTAGTTATGAGTTTTAAACTATACAAAAAACAATTACATTTTACTTCACATTGGTATTAATCCCCTTCATAAAGGTTATAGTTTTGTATTTGTTTTTAAACCGATGAGTTATGAACAGTAAAAATTGTTATGAAAGTAAATAGAAAGTCCACTTTGAAGTCTTGTGTAATAGTGTGTAAAGTCGTCTGTGAAAACATGAGTAATCACGGCTTTACTTGCCTCATGAAACAACATTGATCATCAGACACAATTTGTTTTTTTCAAGCACAGGAAGCTAATTTATGCATGTTCACAACAAGATGCTCCAAAAGACTAGATGCTTCATACGTTACCCCACTGATCTGTGAGAAGCTGCATCTCTTTCTCATGTCTCTGTGCTGAAGAACACTGAAAGCTTTAAGAGGAAGAATTAAGTACACAATAACTGGCTGAAAATTAAAAACACTTTTCAAATCTTGTCACAGATTTGTAAATTAAAACAATGCGTCATGTTGTGAGCGGCACATTACTGTAGGGAAAGTTGTTCTGAGTGGATTCTATAGAAACAAGTTGTGCTTGGGCCTTCTCTCATTTATTGTTGTTTGACACTGTGTTTCCCAAAAGTGGGCTCTGGAAACAAGTGAAGGGGTTATGTGATGATTTCAGGAATCAAATATATATATTTTTAAATGATAGCTAACAGCACATTTTTGTGTTGCTATGAGTGTTAGGGCTGTATTATTCAGTTATTTTGTCCTTGTGGTTTTTGCTTTTTATTTAACCTGAAAGTACCTGTGACATGCTTATCCTTCAGATACAAAAAGTCAAAGAAAACTTTGTTCTATTTAAGAAACTTGGCATACCACACACTATTTTACTCATTTGGATGCATGACTGACCTATTTTCTTTTGAACTCGGTACAGCAAAAGGAAAACAGGAAGTGACATCAAAGGGGAACTCCTTTAATCAAAGGGGAACTCCTTTAAGAAATAGAACTCTGGTCTTTTTTTTATTGAAACATTATGATTTGAACTCTGACTTTTTTTTGTTCCTCTCTGATAGCGACTCAAAATAATGTAAAAAATCAGATTCCCCTCCACAGTTTGCTCTGTTGAGCGTTTTATCTTAGCTTTGGTTTCATGCAGACATTCCCCTTTGACATCACTTCCTGTTACTTCACATGCAAATATCTCAACAACTGTTCATCTCAGCAACATGAATATTATTTTATAAAATGTTCTCAGTGTGATCTTTCCAAAAATGCATTTGCATTATAAAAAAATGATGTCACAGGCACTTTAAACAAACCTAGGATAACTAACCCCATTGATTTTAGATAATCTTTACAGGAGGCCTGCGTCTAGAAGCAGCCTAAACATGTCTGGTTTTGGACCAGGAGGAAATCCACACAATCAGATCCCAGACCCAACCTAAGACTTGCACCCAGGACCTTCTTGCTGTGAGGCAACATTGCTAACCACTAACCCATTATGGCGCCACAAAAGCAATTTTGGGTCATGTTTGTTTCTCTTTAGTATTGCCAAAATCTCACTTGAGCAAGCCAATGAATTTTAATGCAACTTTCAGCAAATAATAATCCACACACTAAAAGTAAAATATTAGACACGGTAGTAGGTGAGAATCATTCACAGCACATACTCTGAGTGTTTACAGATCACAGATTGTGAGGTCTAAAAAAAGTTAGACTAAAACAGCTCCCAACCTTTTCTCAACAATGAATGATTTTTGTTTAAAACTCTGATATTAAATGTGGTGGAATGATATGCATCCATCAAATAATGCTTGACCTTTAATTCGCAATTACTGTATTTTAACTAGCAAGACTTAAAGTCTCTGCTGCTGCTATTTTGTGGGTCAGAACCTGAGATGCTTGGGAACAACGGGATTAAGAGGAAGTTAAAAACTCCCTTTTTTAGCCTAAGCTTAAGCATGCTGTAATTAACGTTAAGGATTCAAGCAGTGCAAAAAATATTAAAAATAATAATTTTCTTTGGGGTCAACAAGCAGCCAATGAATCCACACATGAATTTATCAAAGAGAAGCGAACAAACTGTTGATATCCTGTGACAGCACACATGATGAAGACATGAATACTAAAACCAACAATCTGAATGACAGTCATCATCACTGTTGGCTTCCTCATAAATCAGACGCTGCACCTTAATCAAGATGGCTCATTAGAGGCAATTAGTAATTCACCGAGAAATAGCAGGGACTCTGCGTCTTTGCAAGAGCAAAATGTTTTTGTCTTGAGGTAACGTCTAAAAGTCCGTTTGAACACATGACCCTCTTTTTTTTTCTACACTGGTGACTATAATTAGCTACAGAAACGTATCATCTGTCAAAGCACAGAAGGAGAAGTTGAGTGCATGAGACACAGCTCCTGCCTTCATTTTAAAGTCAGTACAACATAAATCACTTTAGATGTATTCTGCCCACTTGTCACATGTCTTAAATTACATTGCAGACCTTTTAGAAAAAAAAAAGAGCTGATAGGAATAAGAATGCATGCGAACAAGATAAGTGGATTTCTTTCTTTTCAGCCATCAGAGACAGAGCGAAATATTTCTGATGGCTCATTGTGTTGTCAGTGGTGACAGAAAATATAAGTGTATGAAACAAAGGAGGGAGGGACAGGATTTCTCAAAGAGATGTGTTCGAAGAATCCTCATAATCAACTCATTCAGTGTTTGAAAGTAGATGAGTGTGTGTTTTTGATAAAAGCGCCACCGAAATATTCAAAGTGCTGAAGAAGAACTAAAGCTCAGGAGTGTAATATTCCGTTAGGAGATTTGCTTTTTACAGAACAAGTTAAAAAAAAACCACTTAAGCGATTTTTATTATTGCCTTCTATTAGAACTGATGTGGAAGTGATTTTGATGCTCCGTCCTTTTAAAACCCCACAGAGGTTTAAGGGACATGAAATGAAAAGTGATGCCACTATTATAGTCTCATCTGAAAACCCTGCTGCTCAGTGAAGACATTTATGATAGCACTGCTAAAATAAAACACTGATGGACAGCTCAAGATTTAACCCTAAAATTATCTGCTACTTTAGTTCCATCATTCAAGAGGTCAGTATTGTTGGTCTGCCACTTTCTAATTCTTAGTGACTTCAAACTGGCTGCAGAGAATAAAGTGACACGCATCTTTTTGGCTACAGTATGGATGGGACTAAATAAATAAAAAATCTCTATATTCCTAAAAAATAATAAATAAATAAATAAATAAACAATGACAAGATGTTGATGGACATCTAAAAAATAGGGAAGGCAAATGTAAGATCTGAACTATGCAATATTAATTGTGGAGTTCCTCAAGGTTGTGTGTTTGGATGAAAACTGTTTATTTTTTATGTGAATAATTTGGTCAATGTGTCGAAACTTTTAAAATATATTTTGTTTGCTGATGTCATAACACTTTTAAATTCTGGTGAACATATTGGACAGATACAGATACAAACAGAATTTATGAAAATAAAAACTTGGTTTCACTTTACAAGTTATCATTTGGGCAAACAAACTACATGATGTTTAGTAACAAAAATAAAATTATCAAAGTCTCATTTGAAATTGATAGCACTGAAATTTATTACCATAGTAAAGTAGCATAGTAGCAGCTAGCAAAATGAAATTTCAGCTTGTCAGCTTCATTGATGAGAAGCTGACATGGAAATCTCACATAAGCCCATAAAACTTACCATTAAATATTCAATTAAAATTTGTTAAGAGAGAGTCACTATAACCTTAAGAGAATATAATTTTTGTAAAAGCTCTATTTTGAACTAGTCTAATGAACAATGTACATGTTTGTTGATTGTTTAAGCTTAAGTTGTTGTTTGTAGGCTT